CTTTCCGACACAGATGTCAAAGATCGAAATACCCTTTTTGTGGATGCCGTTATGTCCCTGCCTATAGATGACTTTAAGAGTAAGTGGGGCTAGTACAGCATTAAAGTCCATTAAGCAAATAAGCAACATTTGGCTGCAATCCGACCGACATCGTCTTCATACCTTCTAGTAACAATTTTTTACTGTTTAGTATGCAGCCATACGTTTTCCATTATGGCCCGTCTATGAAAGCTTCCCACTGTCACAAAACTGAGAAAATAATTAGTAAGCATTTGCACTGACTATTGAAGACAATCGGCACCGTACAGTTTCGTCTGTAACATACTTGTTCTGGTGCCACCCACTAATGGTGTCAAAATAATTTACTAAACTCTGCAGTGAAGACAGAACTTTGTCATTTGCGATTACTTACTCGTGTCGCGAAACAACTGAAGGCACTAAATAACTATGTTTATCGATCTTTACGTTTTTAACCAATAGATGAACCAGGCTTACCATATGCCTGCGAATAAATTTGCTTCTCTCGTTCACAGCTCTGCAAACCACTGCTCAAATAGCCGTAAGTACAGTCTAGAATGAGACGTAAAGAGAAGGAAGGATCTCAACAGCTCAATTTACTTAAGTGTTGGCGTGACTGCAACGTTTTAATACGCGGGTTAAATTTCAGTAGAACTACTAACTTGTACTTTGCTGATATCTCCCAACTCGAGATCCTTTGTTTGGCCGACCACTAAGACGCGCGTCTTGCAAGTATCGGTGTTCGTCGGCGTCTGCGTCTTCTAAAATGGTAGCGGAAACGATTGCCGAGGAGGCGCCTAAGGAGTCCCACCTCTGGTAATTTTTAGTGCAGTGTCGATATTTAGTAGGTCAACAATTTTGAAAGAGGTTTCCACCATGGGATTACGGAAATTGCCACAAAAGAAGGGGTTGCTATTTCTGGGTGATAATGGCACTGGCAAGTCAACGCTGTATTGCCGTCTAAATGGAAAAGCGCCATCTAAAAATGGTGCAGGTTTGCAGTACCACTTTATTGATGTCAAGGATGAGGCTCGTGATGGTTTGCTTCCATTGAATAATTGTTGGCTTAGATCAAACCAAGTTGAGCGTATGGATTCTTGGTGGTGAGGTTGTCTTTACGCCCCTCCTGAGGTATGTGCTCACGAGGGAAAGCTTCTCGGACCTACTCGCTGTCATTGTTGTCAGCATGGAGGAACCGTGGAACATTATGGAGCAGCTGGAAAAGTGGGTGGATATTCTCGCAGAGTACATCAAACATCTGGAACTGCCCGTGGAGGAACTCACCGCACACAAAGAGAGAGGTGCGCCGTCTTAAATTCCTTTTGCGATTTAATTGATATAAAACGCTGCAATTGCCTCCGTTTGCATCTTGTCTTAGGGTTTCGTTTAGTTACAGCACTGTTTTGATGCAAACTCACTTTATTCTTTAAGTCGTCCAGCAATTCCGTGCTTACATCGAGCCGGATACTCTTCTCCTGCATCCCGCCCATACAAAAACGGAACTGAGTCCGGCAAAAACTCCCTTAGCTCCATCGAGTCTTCGTCCATCGGCCCCTCTACACCCTGCTACTGCTGCGCTCCTTAATTTGACCGCCTCGCAGCCAGCTACTGAGCCAAAGCCAGTTGAACAGGTGGCCAATGCTGATGAACCGACTTTTGTCCCGAAAGTACCTGCCAATGAAGAATTACCGATCACTGCCGGCGCCCTAATAAACAATCTGGGAATCCCTCTTGTGGTGGTTGTGACTAAGGTAGTCCTATTTTCCAGTTTTTGGACGGTTTACGATTTGCGCCTAAGTGCATGATACTCCGAAGCCAATTTTTCACTCGGAGTAATTATGCTAAGAGTCCCGAACATTAGAATTTTTATATCCAAGTAAATACTCCTGTCCGTCTTCTCAGCTGACCATTTTTAAGCCGGAAAACCGAAAATCTGAAAGTTCAGGTCCGTTAGTTCGAGTAGAGTACGAACGGCGACGGGTATATTGTTGGAGGTTTTCTTACAAAGAACCTCCAAAAATCCCCCTCAACCACCTTTCCTTGTTATCCCAACTGTCGACGTTTCCTTTTATTTGGTGGTCTGCTTTCAGTCATATAACGCCCCAGTCCTACGGGTATGTTCTTCCTCAATAGATTCCATGCGCACCTGCGGGTAGCATATAATGAAATGCCATTACCTAGGTGCGAAACTAGTGAGATGACGGCCGCAAAATACTGGACGACTGTTAGCTGTGTTTACTTGTCTATGCTGGTAATTACAGACCTCTGAGATATTTAACTTTGCTCGCGATGGATACCTCTGTGCGTATTTGAGTCAGTTTTTGTATCTTACGGTTATCTTTACCGACTGAAGATAGTGAAATGCATTTATGCTTTAAAATTGATTATGTGGTTCCCCAGCTGGAAGACAGTGCCTCTTTGCTAACTTTGCTGTTAACTGACCGACGAGTCCGTTGATGGTCTGTGGTGGGACGGCCACCGACCAAAGCTGAGAAATCAGCAAGTTGACGACAGGGTAGTAGCGACTTAACCGTGCCAGCAGCTTATAAGTGATTGAAGTTTGGCACGCTGATATTCTTAGCAACTGCCTCACTGTCCGGCATTAGTGCTGCGGGGCTGCCTAAAGTTCCAGCAAATGAAAGTCGTGGACGAGACAAACATAGACAAGTGAATGAAACCTATGTTGGGAATCCGTTTCTGCGAAGCGCCGGAGTCATCCTTGAATTGTTCGCAAATGACAGAATGCTGCGTGCTTCGACGTCCAAGAGCACTAGCGTGCTCCACAATCTCTGCATGGTTACACAATAATAGAAGTCCAAGTGGACTACAACATGAACGGATCCCTAATATCAAACTTTAGAGTGCACTAACGTCTCTTGGCCTTAGTGTTCATATCCCAACGTTGTGGGTTCTGCATTACAATCAGGCCATGCACTGTTTGCCTAAGAGCCAGCATCAAACACCTGATAACTTGGAATCTCTGAAGTTTCTTTTCATTTCTTTCCTGACTATGACTGTTTCTGCGACTCCTAGCAAAGGCTATGCGGCGTCCACAGCTATAATTCTCAGTTGACAGTTTTCCTCTGCACCATCTACTTACACCTGCCACTGACTTACTTGCTCCTTTTACTTCCTAGAGACAGTCGAGAATGATCATTTCGATCTTAGTGCTTAATGCGGTGTTAGTGGATGGTTTTATTTTTTGCCGCTGTCACATGTTTAGCATCGCCGGAATTGTAAACCGGTCTGGTATTTCAAATAAACCTTAGACCTGTGTGGCTACCTAGTAATCCCAAGGTTCCTCATCTTGACGTACGATGGCCGATTAGTCTATACTGCCGAAAATAAACACTACTTTGGGCTACAGCGCATTGGCTTCTGTATACATCTAGGAGTCCATCTTTTAGCCGCATCCAAAAGGTCTAGTGTCAGAGCTCCTGGTATTTTGAAGTCACGACCATCCAATATGAGGGGATCCCGAGTTTGGAATTCTGGTTTCATTTTGTTGTCCTAACGGAAGTCAAAGGCAACATCTATTAGTCGTTCAAATCCATACGTCTCTAGACAGTTGAAGTGGTTTTTTATGCTATGTGCTGAGGCCACTTATTGCACTCCGTCTCGTGAACCTCACATCCCAACGTAGATCTTACAGTCTTGACTCCTTTCCTCAGCTTTGTATAATCATGATAAGTTCGGCTAAAGAAGGTCAGATTGGCTGTTGGCCTAAAGCAACATAGACCTGAAGCGTCGGCAGAACTGAAAACTACTAAATCATTCGCGGAATCAGCTACTCATCTGCATAGACAGACTGTTCACAATCCGAATGGCAACGCTATTTTCATGAGTTGCGTGACCAATGGGAACGTTTTGTCAAACCTTATTAGGTATTAATTATATGGAATGGCTCCAGCGTATCACTGGGGTTGCGCAACAGTAATGCGTTCGGAGATGACATTCCTGTTGCATTTCGTAAGTCAGTCATCGAAACTGACACACTGATTTGACAAACCAGCTCGTGAAAGGTAGTTCTACACGTGCACTGGGACTCCACTATCTTTGTGCTAGCCCCAGAAAGTGATGAGAAGAGATACGCTAGTTACTATGGCACAAGTTTCACTGAAATTGGCCGAGTGCTTTTCGTTATCGTCAGTCTAATGTGGTCCCGTTTTGTGTGTGCGCGTGTGTGGTTTGTGGACGATGCTAGACGGGTCACGAATCCTCAGTGACTGCCAGTGGCCGACGGCCATTTACATTCTTAACTTCCTTGCGATTCCCAGCTCTCATTGCTGATCTATGCAGTGTGTAAAGCCGATAAGGGCTTTATTAGTGTAAGCTATTTTTGTTAAAAAGCACACATGTATACAAAACCTTCGACTTACTACGTTCCAGACCATTCCCTTCTTTACAACGAGTATCTATCTGCTAGCGGGGTAGGTGCAAAGTATCCGTGTACAGCTCTTTTAATCAAGCTAGAATTTTTGTGTCACCGGTTGAAACGTCCAAAGTTTCTGGTGTATTGTTCCGTATTGCAAAGAGTGCTAACATTTGATGTTTTTATCTCATACTTGTAAAGGGTCACTACCCGGACTTGGAAGTCGTCCTAGAAGTTGGGCCGATCTGTCACACTACCACGAAAAACACTCCAACACCTGACAGCCACGGCGTCGCGGTAGCATTTAAGCAGACTTTAAGCTGACTTCACGGTCGTCAGGTTGAGAATAACTCCGATTGCTTATTATAGCTTTGACTTCTTTGCCGTGTACGTAACCTCTTTGGCTGCTATAGATAAAGCCCACATTTTTCGCTTCATCATTACCTTCCCGAAAAGTAGAGATCTGATCCCTCTCGGTTGGAGACGTGCATGTACCCACAGTCTCCGAACATCAATGCATGACAATTGGTGCTCGATTTCACTGGAATGTTCACGTTTTATAATAGGGGATCTTCCTAAAGATGACTCCGTGGAGCGCAGCTTACACAAGCAGTTGGCGGAACGAGTAGCAATTGATTCTGGCTGTTCCGAACTATAGACTGCAAGATTAAATGAGTGATTGCTACTCATTGATTGATTCATTGGCTATAGGAGTTTCTCGTTTGTGTAGTTGGGATAATAACCAGGTTTTATCTGTATTGCGTATGTAAATGTCGCCAAGGCCAGCACAAACCGGCGTAAACTGTCTGTCTGTCACACTGATGTCTTATGATCGGTTAATGATTTGTAGACAGACGTGATGGAGACGCTGGAGAAGGACCATGGATTCTCCGAGGAACAGTTTGACCTTATCCAAATGCATATCCGTCGTTTCTGCCTTTCCTGTGAGTCGATGCTCTGTTTCTTCTCCAGTTTTGTACTTATCTAGCCAGAAAATTAGGGGAGTGGTAGGTCTCAGGTATGCTCATGAGTGTCCGTCATATTTCTGTACTATAAATCACTTTAGTCCCCGTACTGCACGATCACTAGTTAATGTTATTCGTAGCAGCTACGTTCTGATGTCATGCGAGAGGTAAAGCGACATCTATGCATGAATGGAAACGGATGTTCGAATCCCGGGTGTCTGTATGAGTAAGGAAAAAGAAGACTGGTTGAGTACCGGGCCAAGTTGTTTATTATTCTGAGCCTTTGAACCCGCGCTGGAGTCCGTCATCAGAGATAGTAGCGACAGCAAAACAAGTGACAATTATAGAGGGTAGTACCCAATCAGCGGTTAGTGACGCAGATGTGGAGGTGACTGCGTAGGGCTCTGTGTGCGGCGCCAGATTGATACATCGATTGACTGAGTTCTCATCCGAGGCCCAGGCTTCAATCCTCGGCCTGTCTTGCTTTTGGCATGGGCGAATATCTTGGCGGCTGCGAAGTTGAACCCATGACACGTTTCGAATGTATGGGCAGCCACAGATAATTCGTCGCCCCGTTACATAGCCAGCTTATGCTCATCTGTGTGCTATCCTAGCACGCCCTCAGTCTGACCTGTGTACTTGCAAGGATAATTTGGGCACGCCATGCTGCTCCTTGGCACTTAGTTGGTCCTTAATTTTCATGATTCTGCTGCGCATAGTAGCTCTGGATCGGTAAGCAATCCTAACATCTAGTTCCAAAGTAATGCGCCTAGTCGCTTTTGTTACGTCCTCGGTCTACGGCAGCGCATGCCATATCCCTGCTGGTAATTCTGTTTGGGTCCGCCGGGGACGAAAACGTAAGCGTCGGCGTATCAGCGCCTTCGGATAGCCATTTCGCGTAAATTAGTCGCGGAAATACCGGGCCTCGTGTTCTTTTTCCTCTTGGTCGCTGCCATGCGTTTAAATCCGTTTGAAGAGCGTTATCACACAGCTTATTTTGTTGGCCACCGGATGGTTGCTATGAAAACTGAGAAGCTGTGTGGTGTTCGTTGCCTTCCTGTATACGGTCGTTTCAAGTTCGTCGTTTGAACTTCACCAAACAGGCACACCAAGAGTAACTGCTGCTCCTGGTCTTCCCTCGTTACTTGTATGCTAGGGAAGACTGCATTGAGCAGATTGTGGAAATCCTGCCGCATGTTCTTCCTGGCTGCAACAAACGTGTGGTTAACGTAAGGGTGCCAAAAGACCGGCTTATGATGCATGAAGGCAGCCTTTTCTAGCTTCTTTAGGACTAGTTCTGCCACTAAAGCGGAGATCAGGGAGCCTATTGGAGTTCCCCTGATTTGCTCATTGGTTTATCCAGCAAGAGTGGAGTGATTTTTTGCGAACATTTGAACAGTCTCATAAGGTGCTCAATTTTGAGTAGATTTTGAATCTTGTCGTAGGGCCAATACCCCCTAGCATTTTCGTCTGTTCTGTTGCTGATACTGTCTCTGACGATGGGGTCCTGCACGAGTTTGAAAGTTCGGTTCACGACCGACCTTCCTTATTTGTATGTTTGAAAATTGAGGTAAAATGCATTCCGAGATGGTATAGTGAAAACAAGAAAGCTGTTCGTGAAAGTTGAGTTGCACTCGTACGTGACACTAACCCGTCGTCAGATAAGGCGAATGAGGAAATATGTATATGATTATTACACAGGAACATTTGGGGACACCAAGAATATATCAGCAGATAGGCGTCCGTGGGGGGTTATTGTGCCTGGCGTTACGATTGGTGCTGAGGGTGGGATTAGATGGGGATTTTAAGTTATGGTTCGCCGTATTGCGGGAAGGGGGAGGGTAGCGAATCAGTAAGATTCTTGCTGGCAGTGTAATCCCATCACCAGTTGATAGGATTGGGCAACTGATTGGTGTAGAAGGAGCGAGGCGGAGACTGGGGAGTCCATCCCAATGGCAAGTCAGCACATTCCTTGATTACCATACGGATCAAAACAGTGGTCAGATTAAAGAGGCCACTCACGCGCACAGCTAGCTGCCGTTTGTTGATACGGTTTCAAAGTTTTCGAACATTATATTCAACACAATTACAAGATCACCTAACGGGTGGTACGCAGCAAATGACGTTAGTTTGCCCCTCTTTAGGTTTCGGATCCTTTGCACATATCGAGGACGCCAACTTTTGAGCAATGCCAGAACGCAACAGATGGTCCTTCCATGTAAGGCATGAAGGCAAAATTCCACAGCACATTTTCTCCATGAGAACTGAAATTTTCGGTTGGCTCTGAGGTTCGAAACCGTTTCAACAAGGGGAAGGTGTTGGGATGTAGTGTGGACCGCGCTGTTTTACCGATGATTTTCGTTGTACACGTATGACCGAATAGGTCCATGTGACGACGGAGTGTCCTAAATCAGCGTGGGCAGGGGTACGGAAATGCAGGGCGTATTTTGGCGATCCTGGCACTTGTTCGGCAGTCGCAGCGCAATGGATCGCAAGTGACCGACAAGATATGTGGTGTGAAGGCGGGGTCGCAGCGGGAACAGGTTGGAACTGATTTCAAATTGATGTTGTCGATGTTGGTGGTGGTGTTGGGGAAGAGTTAATGGGCTTTCTTCCTCAGTGTTGCTGATAATGAAGACTGTTCCAGGGGTAATGTGCTGGACAGGCTGTCGTGCCGGTGAATCCGAAGATGTCTGAGTCCCATGCCTACTCCGAACGTCATTTGTTAATGCAGGCATCACCAGAGGCAGAGTCAGATAATGGCGGTGGATTGCCCAGATGTTGCAGCATTTACTGGATGTAGTTACTACATGCTTATTACAACTGGCAGCTCCCGAGTGCATCACGGCTCGACTGGCCAGGTGTTTAAGTATGCAGTTGCCATGCGGTTTCTATGCGCCTGTGTGCCGGTTAAGATTATCGGCTTCCACGCCCATTACTCGCACTCGAGCTGCTGACTGCTGGATTTTGTCACCCACGTGGACTCTTTGGCAGTTTACCTCACCGAGATTGACACCAGCGACAGTGGTTATCCGCAGGCTCTCCTCGCGGCTAATTACTCTGTCTACGCAGAGTCTCGTCGCCGAATACGGAGAGGGGAGGTCGTTGCGCCTGCTGATTGTTTGAGGACCGGAAAACAATGACTCGAGCAGTTCGCGGCTCATGCGGTTGTCGCCTGTAGCAAGAATTTCTGCTTCGTCGAACTTGTGGTTGGGCCCTGTCGAATGAGCCGCGACTTGGGAGCTGGCGTCGTTCCTCACTGCTGCTGCGTGGTCGATCATCCGCGTCCGGAGTATTCCGGTTTTTTCCGACTAGTTGCTTTGCCCAAAACTGCACCAGACCCGGCACACGGCTCCAAATGTTTACTGCCGTGGCAATAGGTCTTTCGACCTCATGATCTGGCCTTCTGGTTGCCTTCGGTCTGGCACCCTTCACCTGCTCGTAGATTGTTCCGTTGGACGTAAAGTATGTCTTGAAATAGAACTTCAGGAGCTGGAGGAGTTGGGTGTGTCCAAGGCGATTCTCCGTTTCATCGTACTTGTCTCGTAGGAGTAGTCCGATAATATCGACTGCTAGGCCCCATTTACGATTCTCCAAGAATTGTATTGACAACCCGACTGTCGAAATTCAAACCTCTGTACCTTTCTCACTTGTCATTTGTGTTATGCAACGACAGGCTGTAGTTGAGAAGCCGTCGCGAAATTTTCTGGTACCATTAAATTCTGCTGTCCTTGCTTGCTTTAAATTCATTCCGGGGAACTATTGCTTCAATTTTGTAGTGTTTGAATTTTACGGTCAGAAATTTGAGTCACCGAAACAGCCATTTTGCCAGTCCGTAAGTTGGAGTACATTTGAGTGAGTCGATGGGCCGGAGAGGGACATCCTTTTTGTGCACCCTGGGAAGGTCGCCGAAGCGTCCAAGGCCGTATCCTGGGCCCTTGCCCTGCGTCGGTCGACCAGTGGTATTGCACTCCAGTTCTCCAATGCCAACAGCGTCGCATTAGTTTCTCGTCCGTGTCTTTTTTACGGGGTTGGTTGCGCAAGTGGCATAGGACTTGCGGTCCTCCAGTAAACTTTGGGCCTTCCGAAGGTAGTCTATCCTGTCAGAAATAACCCTTACCTGACTCTGCCTCTGATGATAGATTCGAGTGAAAATCCGAAACGTCGGCGAGCACCCATGGCGAAATCTCCGTAGTAGGCGAGCGTCGTCCATTCTCACCAGGTGGCCGCTACGTCGCAGTTTCAGTTGTCTCAGCATGGCGTGGATGCTGAGGATTCCGGTCCGTTCCAGGACTTCCTTATCCGAGATCCAGTCCTGCCATTTCAGCCTCAGTATTCTGTGGAGGCAGCCGAGATGGAAGTGGTTGAGCTTCCCGGTATGGCTTGTGTAGACGGTCCAGGTTTCCGCCCCATAAATAAGTGTCGTCAAGATGACGGCCGTGTACATCTTTAGTTTGTTGTTCAGTTGAAGGCCGTGGCGATTTCACACGGAGGCTTGCAGCCGGCCGAAGGCCTGGTTGGTTTTGGAGAGCTGACGGGAAAACCTCGTCGTCGATTCTTATGCTGCGCGAGTGTGCTTCCTAGATAGGCGAAGTCGTCCATGGTTTGGAGTTGGTTGCTTCCTACCGCTATAAACAAACTCACGACTACGTTAGGAGTTGAGACGGTTAGTCTCGACGACATTTTATGAACTGTTAGTGAATTGTTTGATGACAGCTAACAAGCCGGATACGGCCTTTCCAGTCCCTTTTTTCTTTGTCAATGGTACTTTTCGAAACGTAACTGTTTCTCCCTCCACTTACCTTTTCAGATGGGGCGGCACTTTTCTATGTGTCAACTAAAGAGGATCGTAATTGTGATCTCCTGAATAGGTACCTTCAACATCGCGTCTACGGATTCCCTTTTACTCAAAGCGCCTATGTGGTCGAAAAGGATTGCATTTTCGTGTAAGCCTATATGTTCATCTCTCCTGCTCCCGTATGCATGATCTTCCGATCGGCGACTACCAGATCAAGTCAGATAAGCCTTCATTCTCTTTAATGAAACTGACGGCTAAAACATTGAGATTGTTGTCAGTTTATACTGCAAAAACCTCTGAAACTCAGAAACGAGCCAGGCCAAGAAAAAACATGTGCCAGGGGGGTGACATCGAGCCGCCGATCCACCGGTTTGGCATTTGGCACCAGCTGACTCTCTGGATTTTCCACATTTCCGTTTTAAGATTCATCACTCGTCTCACAAACGGTTCCCGGTGGGTCCTAGAGGACGGAACAAGTAAGGCGAGTTCTGAGCTGGAGGTGGATGAATGCATCGGCTGCGTGTTTCACAGCGACGAGTTTTCGGACTCCGTCATGCCCGTCACACGTAACTAACAGTCGTCGGGATTGTTGACGTCTTTGCAGTGTACGAATCCGTTTATCATGAGCCTTACGGCGGGTAGTAGTTAGTCAGTGCGCTAATAGAAACATCTTCGCCGTGGTCATTGCGTACTGTTGCTTCACTAAAGCCTGATTTCTAGTCCATAACAATCACTACCAACCGCCCGATATTCAAAATGACGTTCAATATGGTTGCATTATGTCGTTCATCTCTTTCAATTCCACTTTTAACTACATCCTCCAAGAGTCCGAAGCGGTTTAAGCGGTGTCGACTTTGCACCCTGAACGCCGACTGACCGACTTCGACTATGTTGGTGATATTGCCCTGCCAGCGTCAAGCTATGACGACCCCAATAAGTTGGTATCTGAGTGACCGAGGTCGCTAAATAAGTTGGTTTATCTATCAGGGCTAGGTTGACTGATCTGTTTTAATACTGCGTTTGCGTCCAGGAAAAGATGCCCCATAGGATTAATGATTGTCAGCTCGAAGAAGTGGACAATTGCAACTATTTCGGGATGATACCTCCGCCAAAGGGAGCGAATAATATCGAAGTCTTGCGCTGCCCGCAAGATTGTCTTAAGTCTTGGAAAGTGTCCATAGAGCCGACTCGAGCATCTGTCTGGTTATTCCTCCTGTGCGGTTGGGCATGCTGAACTGCTCACGTGGAAGATAAACAAAACCAGAGGTGTTTGACCACCGTTGTCCGTGAATCCTCTTTCGAGTGAAGTAGGCCAACGTTTCCGGTGAGACAGTCTTCACTCGCTCTGGGAACAAAGGGCGCTGTTCTTGACCCGACGCTGCCGTTCACTTTCAGGCGACGACACAGTCGGCTTACGATCTGAACCAACATAGTTTGTAATGACATGGTGGGTGTTCTTTGCCTTACTATATTCAGCCTCCGTTGCTGAGCAAGAGAGTGGACCAGGCATTCCGGATCTACTGCGACTGATCCGTGACACTGTGTCTGTCCAAATCAGGTGTGATTACAGCTACGACATGCACAAATAAGCCAACACTTCCCTTCACCCTTTTAGAAGCCATCATCGCTTACTAAGTGACGGACCAATTTTCGGACCATATCGC